ACAGGGATGGGGACAGGATGGGGACAGGGATGGGGACAGGGATGGGGACAGGGATGGGGACAGGGACAGGATGGGGACAGGGATGGGGACAGGATGGGGACGGGGATGGGGACAGGGACAAGGACAGGAACAGGGACAAGAACAAGGACAGGGACAGAAACAGGGACAAGGACAGGAACAAGGACAGTGACAAGGGACAAGGACAGGGACAAGAACAAGGACAGGAACAGGGACAGAGACAAGGACAGTGACAAGGACAGGAACAAGGACAAGGACAGGAACAGGGACAATGACAGTGACAAGGGACAATGACAGTGACAGGGACAAGGACAGGGACAGTGACAAGGGACAAGGACAGTGACAAGGGACAATGACAGTGACAAGGGACAAGAACAGGGACAAGGACAGTGACAAGGGACAAGGACAGGGCCAGGGCCACGTTCCCCTCACCGATGAGGGCCACCTTGCTCTCCTTCATGGAATCCACCACCCGATCCAGCTTCTCCTCGGACGCCGTGTTCTGCACCTCGCTCAGGTGGTGCTCGTCGAAGATCACGGGGACACTGCCAGCCTGGCACGGGGACAGAGCCACCCACTGTCACCTGTGGGACCCTCGGGGACACGGCAGGGGGGACACAGAGCCCTCAACAGGCCAGGGAGAGCTCGGGGGAAGCAGGAAATCATTGGGAACTGGGATCGCTCCAGTGCCAACGGAACGGTGACGGGGATGGAACCGTGGAGTATTTCCCTTGGGAAAAGCCTCTGAGGGACAGGCCACCGCTGGCATGTCCCCAAGTGCCACATGCACACAGGGCTGTTCAATCCCTCCAGGGATGGGCACTCCCCCCACCGCCTTGGAGAGCCATTTTTAGGAGGAATTTTCCCAATATCCGACCCAAATCCCTCCAGGAATGGGGACTCGCCCTCTGCCCGTGGGTGCCCAGTGGGGACAGAGGGCACAGGGACAATCAGGGACACTCAGGGACACCCAGGGACACCCAGGGACTCTCAGGGACATCCCTGATCCCAGAATTCCCTCCATCCCAATCCCAGAATCAGGGATGCTCAGGGACACTCAGGGACTCATGGGGACACTCAGGGACCCTCAGGGACACCCAGGGACACTCAGGGACTCTTAGGGACACCCAGGAATGCTCAGGGACACCCAGGGACACTCAAGGACGTTCAGGGACACTCAATGACACCCAGGGACACTCAGAGACATTCAGGGACATCCCTGATCCCAGAATTCCCTCTATCCCAATCCCAGAATCAGGGATGCTCAGGGACACTCAGGGACTCATGGGGACACTCAGGGACATTCAGGGACCCTCAAGGACACTCAGGGATGCTCAAGGACACCCAGGGACACCCAGGGACATCCAGGGACTCTTAGGGACATCCAGGACACTCAGGGACACCCAGGGATGTTCAGGGACACCGAGGGACTCTTAGGGACACCCAGGAATACTCAGGGACACTCAGAGACTCTCAGGGATGTTCAGGGACACTTGGGGACACCCAGGGACACTTGGGGACACCCAGGGCCAGCTGTCTGGTGTCCCCCTGGACGTGGCCGTACCTTGAAGACCTCCTTGACGGCGTGCATCAGCTCCGGGCCCACGCCATCCCCCGGCAGCATCGTCACCTGGAATGTCCCCTCAGCCTTGGCACTGTGGGACTGCGGGGACACGGCGGGGTCACCCCAAAACCAGCCCCAAACTGGGGCCAGGGCACCCCCAGGGTCCAGCCCCACAGGGCCGGGGAACGCTCCGAGTTCTTAGGGAGTTATGGAAAGGCCCGGGGTCTTCTCATGTCCCCAAGTGTCACATCCACAGGTTTGGGAAATCCCTCCAAGGGATGGGGACTCCACCCTGTCCTGGGCTGGCCTTTCCAGGAGGAAAATTCCCAATATCCCACCCAAACCTCGTCCCTTTGTCCTGTCCCTGCTCCTCTCTCCTGGCAGGGAGTTGTGCAGAGCCACAGGGTCCCCCCTGATCCCCCTTTTCTCCAGGCTGATCCCCCTTTCCAGCTCCCTCAGCCTCTCCTGGGGCTCCACTCCCTTCCCCAAATCCATTCCTTTCCCTGGACACGCTCCAGCACCTCCAAGCCTTGTCCTGTCAATCGCTGTCGCTGTCCTGAGGCCACCCCGGGGTGCCACCAGCCCCGAGCACACCCGACACCACCGAGAGACCTTCCCTCCACTCAGCACCTCCAGAAATAACCTCTCCCTCCATCCCGCGGAATTCCCGGCACAGCCCGGTGTTCCTGAACTCCCTCAGCACCTCATGGGACCCTGGACAGCCGTTTTTAGCAGGAGTTTCCCCAATTATTCCCCCAAAAATTCCCCAATCTGACCCAAATCTCTCCAGGGATGGGGACTCCGCCCTCTTCTCCTCCCAGGAGGGATTTCCCCAGTGGAAATTCCCCCTGGAATTCCCTCATTCCTGCTCCCTGCCCTCAGCATCTCATGGAATTTTGGGCAGCCCAGAGCATCATTCCTGGGGTGTTCCACACATCCCATTCCAACAGCCTCCCTCCCACTGCTCCCACCTTCCTCAGCCCGGAATTCCCTGCTGGGAGCTGCTCCCAGCAGGAATCTCTCAGATCCAGCCTGGGGGATCCACAGGGAATTCCCTCCCAGCAACGCCAGAGAAACTCTGGAATTCCAGTGGGAGCAGGGAAATGAGGGAGGGAGGGAAGGAAAGCTGAGAGTCACAAATTGGGCTGGAATCAAATTTCCAGGGCACAAACGGGGCTCCTGGGCAGGGATGAAATATCAGGAGGCGAAGCTGAGGAAGGGCAGCCTCAAGGTCACGCAGCTGCTCAGGGCCGAGCCCTTCCCTCAGCAACATTTCCCACGGAATCAGGGAATTTTCCGGCTGGGAAAAGCCTCAGAGACTCCCCCCAGCACTGCCAGGGCCACCACTGACCGTGTCCCCAAGTGCCACGTCCCCACGGTTGTTAAACCCCACCAGCACCGGGAACTGCCCTTCCCAGCAAGGAAAATTCCCAATATCCCACCCAAACCTCCCTTGGCACAACTTGAGGCCGTTTCTTGTCCTCTCCCTTGTTCCCGACTCCCCACTCCTGTCCGGGACTTTCTGGGGAGCCCTTTTCCCCCCCAAATTCCGCCTTCCTCCCTCAGCCGCTGCTCACCTTGGCCTGGGCTTGCTGCAGGAGGGGGGCCGAGGTGCCCAGCCCCCGCCACACCCCGAGGCTCTGGGCTCGCAGGAGGCCCTGGGGGTGCCGGGGGAGATGTCAGAGCCCAGAGAGCCCCGTCAGGGGGTTCTCCTCACCCCCAAAGTCCTCCCAGCACGAAGGAATCCCAAAGGGTCACCCCCAAAGCGTCACCCCCCAAGCCAGCCTCAACCTCCCCCCACAAAACTGACACTCCCCAAACGGAACCATCCCGGCTCTGACCTCACACCCTGCCCCAGACTGATCCCTCAGACCCCCTCTGATCCCCCCAGACCTCCTCTGATCCCCCCAGGCCCCCTCTGATCCCCCCAGACCCCGTCTGACCCTTCCCAGCCCTCACGAACCCCCCTCAGCCCTCACGAACTCCCCCTCAGCCCTCACGGACCTCCCTCAGCCGGCGCAGTGAAGGATGAGGTCAGACCCCATCTGCCCTCCCCCCCAGACCCCGCAGCGATTTCCCCCCTCGCCGTGTCCCCTCATTCCCCGTCACGGAGCCCGCTGTCCCCTGCCCGCCGCTTGTCTCGCTCCCCCCTCACCGCCGCCGCCGCCCGTCCCGCGCCGACCGCCGCC